GGCAAACCATCTGACGTTTTCCATCACAGCTTTCTTTACTGCCCTCCAAGGACCAGGTAGACGCAGGACTCTGGGATGCTCAAACTCCAGTGGTGATTCCTAACTGAGCCCTTCCCGCTGTGGTGCTCTGAACTCCCTTAACTCTTCCATTTCTATTCCCCAAGTTCTCCCCTAAAACACCGGATGTAGTTCAGAAGTAATGAAGTCCCCTGTTGAGGAGCAGTTCCCAAAACTCACTCACCTTTCCGTTCCCTGAGGAGGAGACTTCGCCGCTCTTTCACTTCTGAGCCCAGATTATCCACCATCTTATTAATGCAATTGTCCAGAACCAGGGAGTGGGTTTGGGACTCAATGTCTTTTCGACAAATGGGACACTCTGCTTTCCGCTTCATCCATTCACTGATACAGAAGGAGCAGAAACTGTGGGCGCAGTTCAGGGTGACAGCCTACAACGTGAAAGGGAACACACGAATGACACTTGCCACTCAACTTTCTCACAGCTGGACCAGGAACAAATCTCCAAAAAGAAAGTCCACCAGTCCCACCTTACAAAGATGCTCTGGGGTGCCGGGTGGTGGTGGCGCAGGCCTTTAATCCCAGCACTTGGGAGGCAGAGGCAGGCGGATCTCTACGAGTTCAATGCCAGCCCGGTCTACAGAGCGAGTTCCAGGACAGCCAGGACTGTTACACAGAGAAACCCTGTCTCAAAAAACAAAAAGATGTTCACTCCCTACCCATTTCTACTCTGTCCTGTTTTCTGCTAGCTTCCACAGTCCTGAGCAATGCTGAGAATTTCCACAGCAAGGAACCATCAGACTAGAAACTGCAGAAACCAATGGCCTGTAGTCAGACACTGATCCTCCTGAGACATTCCTCAGAAGGCTAACACACGCAACCTCCTAGAGCTTGCCTCAAACAGGAATCCCTCTGGACACGTACTTTCCTTTCCAAACTCTAAAAGCCTGCTGTTTGACAGCATCACCTTAACATTTTTAGGATAAAATGAACTGGTTACAAATGCTAGAAACTGGGGCTGGAGAGGTGGCTCAGCAGTCAATAGCACTGGATGCTCTCCTTGAGGTCCTGAGTTCACTTCCCAGCACCCATACAGCAGCTCACAACTGCCTGTAACTCCAGTTCCAGAGGCTCTGACACCCTCATATCGACATACATGCAGGCAAAAACACCAATGCATATAAAATAATAATAAAGATTAAACTTTTATTTTTTGGTTTTTCAAGACAGAGTTTCTCTGTGTAATAGCTCTAGATGTCCTGGAACTTGCTTTGTAGACCAGGCTGGGGCCTCGAACTCACTGAGATCCACCTGCCTCTGCCTCTAATGATTAAAGCGTGTACCACACCACCTAGCCTAATAAAGATCAAATTTAAAAAGTAGTTAAAAAAAAAAAA